TGCTACTGGTTTGTGGTGCATTTGCCTTGTTGGAAAGCTCAGAATGTGCTTGTCCAGGAAATGCAGCAATTCCATGGGCAACTGAAAGGTTTTTAACAGAAGTCAGGCAATAAGCTACTCACGGTAGTTATCAGACAGTCTCTATAACAAATTGACAAATATCTGTGCATCTACTCGCAGAAAAGAAACATTCACCATAAACATGTCTACTTCCGTGCATTCTTGATCTGAAGTGATCTTAATAATTTCTTTCAGTTAGATATTTAACTTTACACTAGAAACTCTCTCTGCCTCTACATGCATCAAATGGAAGACAAGATCGGACCATATTTTATATCATCAAAATGGTTTTATAGAGGAGACAGTTGAGGCGGGATACTAGTAAATGCTGGTTCAATTGCCACCCCCAAAAAAAACCCAAAAAAAAATCTCTAAAAAATGTATAATTTCTTGACTAAGAGTGATGATTTAATCTTTCTTCACTTGAAACCTTAGCAAATATTGACACCCCAAATTTGGATTCACATAATTAAGCAAGTGAATAAAGCCTCACTTCCATACATTGTACTTGCAACCTTGAAAGTATTCCAACTTTACTAGATGCAAAAATCCAATTCCTACACAATAACCTGCTTCTTGATTGAAGCAAAAGATAACAAAGGCCTAAACCACACAAATTTCCAGCCAAAAGAAAAGCAACAACGACTGCCCCACCGTAATGAAAAAAAGATGCAGAGACCACTACCACAAGAAGATTGAATAGAGGCGAAGATAAGCAAAAATTGCACTAACCCTTATTCTGTGGCTGCTGAATCTCCTCTTCTACACTAAAGCAAGACCCCATTTATCTGATTTCAGGAAAAGACTCACATTTCACCTCTATTTACTGGTCATAATATCACATCAAATCCACAGAAAGATAAGATTTTTATGCCCAAGAGAACAAGGTAAACACTTCGCTTGTTTTTCAGTGATGTATCATTTCATTATCGTTTGTCATCAAATAAGCCTTAGACACTACTTCAATGTCCCAAATCTGAGAAGGGACAGCCAAAAAAACCAGACTAATTTGGCTAAAAGAAGAAAGGATTCATCACAAGAGAGAGGAAAATAAGAGCAAAATAGACTACTAAAAGTCTAAGAAGTCTATTTTGCAGATAGTCTATTTTGCAGAAGGGTCTTCTGATTGTCTTTCAAACTTATGATTTTTCTTTTTCAATTTTAATGTAATTGCTTTGAGGTATTATTATAATGGCTAATTGCAAAAGACACCTCTAAACTATCACTTACTTAAACTTTGCGCCAAAAGCTATTAATTGTAGCAATGTAGTGCTGTAACATCAAATTGAATTGTTGTAGGAGTGAGAATCGGTTGGTAAAATTGTGAATCCATTAGAGTGAATCAGTTTCCCATTTTTATCCATTTGAATTTGCGACCAAAATTTAATCAATTTTATTTTTGCCAAATTAAAATCAAATTGAATTAAAATTGAAAATCAATTTCAATAATCGGTTAACTAGTTTCATCCAATTTCATATTTGGTACCAAAATACAAAAATGGGTTTGTTGTTAATATCTAAAAAAAGGCATATCATATGATTTACTAATATTTTAAAACTAAGAAAAAGTTATTATTCATAAACTATAAAGAAGTGCATTGCATCTATATAAATTGTATACCCTATGGATTAAGCATCAAAAAAATTAAGTATTAGGCATTAATACTACTTTATATATTATGCTAGACTATATTATTTTAATTTTAATTATTAGAAAGGTGTTATTATAATTATTCATAACTGATGAGATAGTCAATAATTAGTAGTCAATATGTATATGAATTTATATAACCGTAATAAGTTCTAAGGTTTGACATAGAGAATATAAATCTCAAGACATAAAAAATAAAGAACAAACAATAAAGATATTATATATGAAAAATGAAAAAATGAAATCATTTTTTGGTTTAAATCAAAATTGAGGATCTAAAACAAAAATCAAATTGAAATCGAAGTCACTGAAATCAAATTCACCAAATTCAATTAACCAAATTTAATACACGGGTGGAAATTTGATAAATCCATCTTAGCCTCGCCTCTAATTGATTGCACATTAAACAACTAGTTGGAAATATGGTTAATTTGGGAACATTATAGTTTGACACACCAATCTTTATTAGTGGCAGATCTTTGAACTTTTTACTCATCTAATATAAAGATGTTTATTTGCACTTTTTGTGTTAGTAAAAGGATATAGTTGTGAGTACTACAAATAATAAGCGATTGTTGCATGGTTAACATGGCCAGAAAAGAAGTCAATAGGGGTGTCACCAATATATAAGAAATTGTCATTAATAATTCTCAATCTTAATAACTATTATTTATTGAAATGATTACCTTGGACCAAAGGGTATTTTAGTAAAACTAATTTAGGTAGTGCAAAAGTAAATTCATTTTGAAAATAGCTACAAAAATTTATAATTTTAGATGACTTTGAGTAGTATTTAACAAATTGATAGCATAAGGCACTAAACTACCATGATTGATAAATTATGGCATGAAATATAAATTGATAGTAATTCAAGGATACATATGTTACAATGAAATCTTGCTATTATTTGCATACTGTAGTAATACTCAGTGCAAAAGATGGCTTGGAACTAAATGCCAAATGCAATGGCTGGTCTCCTGAATAGGTCAGATTTGGTCATACATGACCCAAGCACAATGCCCAACAAGTTTATTGTATTTACAGAAATATCATTCTTCCCGGAGAACCAAGAAGGCAAGAAGTCATGTCAGGTGTTCTTTAAGCATCTTTTAGTTTTTTCACTGAAGGATATATGTATCATTCTTGACGGAGAACCAAAGACGTCAAGTTTAGTTTAAGCATTTTTTTTTTAATGAAGGATATTTGTTTCAATAGTAATCCTTGGATTACTTGCCACAAATTGTTGTCGCTAATTATCGTGAGGAGCAACTATTCTGAATCTACACATTTATACTCATTTGGCACATTTGCATGCATATGTATAGTGGATATACTTCTCAGTTTCTCAGTTTGTGATACATGAAAATTTTAGAAATCGATATGTATTGATATTCTCCTTCTTTTGTAAGCTTAATCTATCATATAATCATAATAGTACTTAATACTTGTGATAGTATCGCAGTAACATACCATTCATTTGGTTTTGAAACAGAAGGATTGTGAAGATATATTTTGATTACTATTGCTTTACTTTGTAGCTGTGTCTTAAAGATTTCAAAAACCAAGCAATATAACACAAATTGGAATTATGCATTTGATCGTTTTGCAAACCTCAAAATAAGATTATAGCCTTTTATTTGTCCTTGTGATACCACGCTTGATTCCCCATTTTGAACCGTATGGTTAGAAGTATATGGATTTGATCTTTATTTTTCAACTTTTATCTATTGTCTAGATGAACACAGATTAGGTTATTTGGGCTGAAACGAACATATTTGTGATAATATTTTAAAAAATGATTAATTGTAACTATTTTTTTTTATAAGTAAGAGGATTTAAATTAACATCTCTTACTTAGAATCCGTTCCATCTTACCACCGCAACTCAACCTAACCCTTTCATTTTACCATTCAATTCAACCCAACCCTCTCTCGATCAATTGCAACTAGAGCACTGTACTATTCATGTATAAATAGATAAGATTAGAAAATGATCATACTTTTTATTCTCATCTTTTTTCTCTACTGCCTCCAAGTGATAAATCTCATACCCCTCATTTCCAATTATATTCTTTCATGTTGTCTTAAAAAACTAAGATTTCATTTGAATTAACTGTTTTTTGGGATGTTTTTAAATATTTTATTGTAACAATATAGGTGAAAATTTTTACTGTAGATATTTTTAATGGTGTTTTTGGGGCATTTTTGAAAATATATTTTGGGATATTTTTAAATTTTTAAATTTTAATAAGATATTCATAAAATTTTATAAAATCTTACAACCACCCACCGCCACCCCTCCCCTCCCACCCTCTCCCTCACCCCCCTCTCTGGTTGCAGGTCGTGATCAGAAAATGGTGCCCACCCATGACCAAATCTGGTCGCAAGTCTCGACCCGACCTAGTCTAGTCGCCATGGCTAGCGACCAGCAAGAGGGAGAGGGGGTGGGGGGCAGCGAGAGAGACGTGGAGAGGGGAGGAAGAGGGAGGAGGAAGAAAGAGCAAAGAAAAGGAAGAGGAAGAGGGAGGAGGAGGCTGAAGGAGAGAGGAGAGAAGGAGACTGGGCGGCGAATGGTGGTGTGTTTTTGATGGTTGGTGGTGGTGGTGTATTTTATTTTATTTTTTTTTGTATATTTGGAGTTGTTTTTTATATATTGTATGGATGTAATGTTTTGGAGTTATTTTGTTTGTGTATTACTGTAATATTGTATATGAAAAATTTGTTTTTAAAAAATTGAGGAATCCAAACAGGGTATTTTAGAATTCAATATTGGTTTGAATTTTCTATTTAATGAGCCAATTATTGAATTTGACAATAATTTAATTATCATTTATGTTGAACTTATACGAACTTCTATCTAGTTTACTTGGTATCTATTAATTTATCAATTGATAAATTCCAAATTTCATAGAGTAGTTATTATCCGGTTCTCCAAATTTCGATACCAAATAGTAAGTCATTTGAGATTCATATTTGGACCCTTTCATGTCCAGCAAACTACATGCACGAAAGGCTTTAGCTTTGGCATTATTGACAACACTTTTAATACCAAAAAAATTTTGGAAAGCACCAAAATGATCCTTCTCAAGTCAAATCGGCTAGCTTCATAAATTGACTTGATAAGGGTCATTATTGCTTTTTGATGACTACTTTTCCTACTTGCTTAAATCTTGCAGCGATGCAAGTAGCTTCATTAAGCAATCATTGATCACTTGTAACAAGACAACAAATTCCTGATCTTCGTTTTTATCGACCAAAATTTAGTCACAACTCATAATTGGAGCTGAAGTGCATTAAAAGAAAAATTAAAACACGGGATAATTTGGGCCGACCTTTGCACAGGTATATCGTGTTCTGCTCCAATTGATTTGATGATATGGTTGTATGTACAACTCATCTCTTAGAGAATGCACCAGTCTAGTGATAGCCCCAACAAACCGTTTCCCATACAAATATGACATTGGCATGTAAACCAGGCGACTATAGCATATCATTTGTGCTGCATCAAAAACCAGACCATAGATAAATATGTCCGAATTTAGTTTAATGTAATATTTGCAGAAAATCTAGAAAATGAGCATTCAACAACTTGGTTACCCAACTCAAAATGAATGTCGATTACAGGAGTAGCCCAACACTGCAATATCTTATTAATTTGTCTGGGGATGAGTTAGAGCACTGACAGGGCTAAATACCAAAGTTAGAACTAATACTTTTTGGGTTAAAAGGAGATCCTATGCCTTACAAGGGAGATGGGGAAAGGAAAAGGTTGAGAGTCCAACAAGAGATCTCGTACTCATTAGATTAATGTCCTTGCCAATGCCTATACTATCAAAGGGAAAAAAAAAAAAAAAAACCCAAAGCCGAGTCCATTAGTCCAATGTATGATTAAGAGCATTATGAAGGCCGAAATACGGAGTCCAAGCCAATACTGAAAATGAACTGGGGGAGCTGCGGATGTAAAGGGCAGCGAGGAGGGACTGTCATCCCCAAGATTTTACAAATTTTGTATATTCCCTTAAAAAAATCAAAACCTTTTGTTTATATTATTATAGAAATTAGACTTTGCCACCACAAAATTCCAGAAATCCTTTTTAATCCCTCTATTAAATCACGTTTTTAAACTCAAATCGGATTGGTCGTTCAACCGATTGAATTGGAAACTGGATACATGTCCGATATGAGTTTGTTCAAAAGCTTGGGTGACAAGGACCCGGTCAAAACCAGTCAAAAACTGGGTTTGACTGAAAACCTTAAACAACCAGGAAAACCTGATTTTTTCTAAAATTCAATTTCAAACATTTTTACTCCCAAAAATTTTAACACAGACTTTAATCCTTGAGTGCAGATCCTCTGCTACGGCCACATATGGCTCTTCCAATGCAATATTGAATGATCTAAAGTTAAGGTTAAAAAAATTGAGAAAAAAAACGAAGAGAAGTAAAGGGAAAAAGAATATGAAGAATAAAAGTTGATGATTTCTTGTAATGAATAGAGAAAAAGATGCAAAGATTTAGAAGTAAAAAATGGGGGAAATGAAAGAAACAGAAGACAAAAACTGCGGTTGGAGAAGAAAGGATAAGGGCAGAAAGGAAAAAGATGGGTAATGCGAGAAACAAGAAGAAAAATAGGAATTCAATAACTATTCTTTTTTTTTTATCAGACGGCAACAGCTAATCTAACCTATTCCTACTCCTACTCTAGTCTACACTAGGGAGAGGGAGAGGAGAGGTCCAGTAGGGCCTAAAGAAATTAACGGGAACTGAACCACCATCGGATCAGACAAGTGCGCTACACTCTTATGGATTTAGAAGAATCTACATATAGTGGCACATTGATGAAAGATAAGATTTAAACCCTTGACCTCCCACCCCAACTAGACTTAATAGGTTAGGAATTCAATAACTATTCACTAGAGCAAAATTGCGATACATATGATAATTGATACGAACTACACGTTTTGGTGAGCCAAGTCTAATAGCTAGACCTCACTTTAAGGGCCTCAGGTATACACCACTGAATTCAAATCAGTTTTTGGGTTTCAAAGTTTTATTAATTCTATGATTTGACCCATAGTGTTAGAAAATATTAATACACCTAGAAACATTTTATAATTTATAACTTCTATCCTAAATTCTACTATTATTTTTCAAATAAGCCCTCCAATTTAATTCCAAACTTGTTGAATATGTATTAAATTGTATAGATTGTTACTTGATTATATTACTTTATTTATATTTTCTTGTAAAATATTTTCGAAACATCAAATGTGCATGAACATACCGTGAGATTATAATGCTTTTAGAAATTTTACATAGCATATTAATTTTTAAATTTAAATATATTTATGACATTATGATGATGTCATCTAGTTCTTAAATGGGTCTGACCCCGGTTGAATTCATTGACCCTGTCCCCTGATTTCGACCGAATCACCGCCCAGTCCGAATTTCAAAACATAGCTATTAAAAGGTTTCACTTATATCCTCATTAATATTAAATTTTGTCCCATAAACATTTGACAAAATTGTGAAAGTGGCCCTTCAAGTGTACATCTTTACTAGTCTTGCCTCATCCCTCCAAACCCCACTCCAAAAATGTCAACCTCTAACCCTCCCAGTGCCTTGGAACATCCAAGGTAGAAACAGAATGCGAGAAGTAATTATCAAAATGACAAGCACAATACAAGAAAAACCAAGTCCTGCGTAGGTGGATAGAACACAGTAAAGTACTAATATCATATTAAACTGCATGGACATTCACAGAAACCAATTGACAGATGAATGGGGCTATTTTCTACTTCAACTCACCTTCACGTACATCGCAATGAGTCGATGAAGAAATAAATGAATCAAGTCAACCTCGAGTAACTAATGTTGGACAATTGCTATTGGACAAGAAGATGTCAAAAATCACTCAATCGACATTAAATAAGAACCTGGGTGAATTGGGAAGAATTTGGGAATCAGCCAAAACTCTGGAGGCACTGGATTACAGCCTGCCCAATCATAAAGTCCAAGAACCTGTTTGAAATTTAGTGATTCACTATTACTTATTTAATCCAATAATATAACTCAAGAAGTTGTTTCTGTTCCTGTCTCGTAATATAATCCGGCAACAAAATTGATGAACACAATTGGGAATACACGCATTCCAAAATCAACACATAGAAATAAAATACGCTCCAATAATTGATCACATAAATCTAGTCTAATGAAATTTAAACACAAGTATGAGCTAGGCTATTTTTGTGTGGTGGCTATACCGAGAGCCAAAACTTTCCCCAGGATGGTATTGCAACCGCACCACCATGGTCAAGGATCCATTTGCGACCTCTGGCCATGGCCATATGTTCTCCATCTTCAGGTCCTTCTCCTAGCAACCTTAATGTAATGTAGTTAAAGACTGAACCAAACATAATGCTGTGACCTTCTATATGTAATCCCCAGCCTCCATCTTCATTCTATCAATTAAATAAAGATTGATATCAAATAAAATCAATAATTTTCTTATGCCCAATTAATTGTTTATGATTCCACGAGAAAAAAGTCTTTAGGACCTGATGATTGTATATGTAACGGATTATCTCCTTCTGATGCTCGTAAGACAGAATCATATTGAGTGTACCCGTGATGTACAAGGCCATGACCTGTTTACAGTGTGATATTGTAGTCATTTCTTAGTTCCTTGCTTGAACAAAATCTTACGTGGGTTGAGCATATATTTTGAAAATTTTAATATCAACTAAGTAGACGTACTAATGGAGGTAGGAAGAAAAGAGGCCAGCAGATTCAGCAGGCCAGTGTCCATCGTTAGCCTGAAGGGTTGAGAAGAAGCTTATTCCTCTCCTGAGCGTAGTTGTGACGGCCTCCTCTGTAACATCATCTGTTTCTTTAACATTAACTGGCGGTGGCATTGGAGGACAAGGTGAATTCTCCTTTCTTAGCTGCAGTTGCACATGAAAATAAGGAAGGACAAAGGAAAGAGGCTTATTAATTTCAGCACGTGTAGCTCTTTATTCTAGTGCTGGTGTCACTAGCAAAGGAATGAGTGCTGAACCCTTTATAAGAATAAAGAATCTCAGAGTAAAGAGCCATGAGATCAGTAGCACTGTCATACCTGCATGCGCATTAGGAGGTCGGCACTTTGCTGCCTTCGAAATCCGTTCTTTCTGAACTCCTCACGCACTTTATCTACTTGAGCTCGTTCTTCAGGAGTTCCGGCATCTGGGTCAAATTCCCAGTGCTGCCGTCCCACATGGCCGTTGGTTGTGGTCAGCCATGGGCCGCTGCCTTCAGCAATTCTCAACTTCCACATAGTGGATGCAAAAAAAGGCTATATGCGAAGTAGGTGAACAACTTTTATGTTAAAACAACAATCAAAAATTGAATCTAGCAAAACTCAAATTGGTAAAAAAGCGTGTTTGAGGTTATCCTGGCTGATGCATAAACAAATGAAGGGTGTACCTGATATATACAAGAGATTAGTGAGGCAAATGATAAAGGGATACTCACATTCTGAGGCTTTCTAGCCACGGAGTATTTTTGGTCTTTTATGCTAGGACAATATATCGAATTATGGAGATTATCTGGTGCATCTATAACTATGCCTCGGAAAATGGACATGTTACTAAATAATCTTTACCCTTTCTATTTTCAAACCAATACTGAAGGAGAATGACGAAAACCCATAATAATATAGTGGGGTCTTATGATTAAAATTCCCATTTCAACTTCGGAATGTTAACCAAACACCTCCTAAATGACTTCAAAATATGTAATACGTATACCATTGTTATTGATCTACAATAAATAAAGTAAAAGAATATAAAATGATGCAATATTAAACTTCAGATATTCGAACAAATCATAGCATTATATATACTAGGTATTCTGCCCTGATGCTATGCGTCAGGTAGGTAGGACCTGGTAATAGGAAAACAAGGGAAGGAAAAAACACTGGCCAGAGAAAAGCTAAGAAGAAGAATGAGGAACGGGAAAAACACACCTGGTAAAGAAGGCGAAGAAAAGAAAAAGTAACAGCTCCCAAAACTCTGAAGCGGTGCGCACTGGATTCAGCACAGAACCAAGAACAGAATGAGAGGAAATTGCTGACCGCCAAAATGTTCCCATCCAAGAGGCCCACGCGGACAGAAGTGAATTTCCATCAAACCATTGCCGTCCAATGCCAAAAGACCAAAACACCCCTCAAGTTCACAAAAATCACAGTATAACTGGCCCACCAAACACAGCTTGCTCAGAAGATCAATTAGGTGAGAAAGTAAAGACATCACCCTGCAAAACCAGAGACTGCTGCGGACACTATCATTAGGTGAGAAAGTAAAGACATCACCCTGCAAAACCAGAGACTGCTGCGGACACTATCCACCGCCTACTCACCAATGCAGCCAAAGCAACTACAATTATACAAGAGATTGGGAAACCAAACACACGTCTGAAGTGAATTATACAAGAGGACCACACCGACAGAAGCGAATTTCCAAGAAAGCTAATTAAACAGCGAATTACTTGAAAAGTAAAAGAAAACTTTTCAAGTCATTTCTGAAGCTACCAACGAAAACTAAAAAGAAGAAGAAAGCTAAAAGAGAAGAAAGGTTCCAGCAAAGCCAACTAAACAGTGAATCACTTCAAAAGCAAAAGAAAATTTTTCAAGTCCTTTCTGAAGCTGCCAAAGAAAACTAAGAAGAAGAAGATAGCTAAAAGAGAAGAAAGAAAACTACTGACCGCCCACCGCCCACTAACCAGCAGAAATTGTTAACTTCCAAAAGACCAAGCAGAACCGGAGCCCGCATGGCAAGAGACCAAGCCTTGTCTGCATCAACGTGTCGCCAAGCTTCCCCAATATCATGCAACCAAGAATCATAAAAATCCAGAAAAACCAATGCCACCCATCAGCAAAAGACCAAAACGCCCCTCAAGCTCACACAAATCACTGCATAACCGGTCCACCAAACACTGTTCACTGCTATTCGTGCTTTATATATGTAAGATAAGATATATATATATATATATATCTCTCTAAAAGTCTTAAACTTTGTAAGCGTTTGAGAAGGAATAATTGTTTGAACCTTATCCTCAGTAATATTTACTTGAAGATTTTTGACAATTATAGGTTTGACACTAGCCTAAGTTTTAGTTAAGACATTTATTGTGGAATATCCTGTGTTTTGGGAGTACAACTCTATTTAAACAAATTCAAAGAATCCTTAAACCAAGCCACAAATTCTTCAAATGTTTTTAGATCAAACAAAGGAGCAAGCCTTGTGCAAGTTTCATATTTTGTAAGTTTATATATATATATAATATATATATAGGATTAATCTTTCCTACACTGACAGTGTATACACTGCCAACATTGAATGAATGATAACCATGCAAAATTTGAATTTAAAATTTAACTTTTACACATATGTCATGAATCAAACGGTGATAGCGTATACACTGTCAGTGTATATAAAATTTACTCATATATATATATATATATATATATTTTACATATAAAAAGAGGGAGTTTAGTTTAGGAACAGTGTGTTTGGTCCCCTGTGGACATCTTGAGTGGTTGGGCGCTATTGGTCGAGGCTAGTTTCAAATCTGATCATGTAAGAAAGAATATGGTCCAATTATTTTTTGTGACTGTGCTATCCTTATAAGTCAATTATACCTTTTGTTTCTTCTATAATCCATACTGATTGGGATGATATTTTTGAGCCTTTGACAATTATATACTAAGTTGAATCTAGGCCCTCTTTCTGGTACGTGTGTTATCCAAGCTGGCTGTTCATAGTTATGCTAATGGGTCAAAATTTAGGTAGATTCGATTTTTAAAAATCCAATAATTTAAATTGTACCACACCAAGAATTATGAGCACAGTTTGGGCGCATGAAGTAATATAGATGGTTGAATTGATTTTTTTGTACTAAATTAAAAGCTTAGTATAAAAAAGTCAGTGCTTTGAATATCTTAGTAATTAATTATAAAAAACTGGACCTTATTGTTGGTTACATGTATAGATTGAACTTATAGTCCTTAGTTTCCCAAACAAAAAGGAAAAAAAAAGAGACTTATACTCTTTAGAACAGCTGCTTAAGTGAAATAATTTAGTTATATAAACTGTACTAATTAATGTGTAACTACGTTTGATTGATGAATAGATTTAATACTTGCAATTGCACTACTTTAAAATTGCTAAATCAATGATCATTAATCTTAATTGCTTTTAGTTCAAAAATTAAATTACATCAATCAAAATGAGGTATGCACAAGTTTGGTTTATGTTTGTGTCGCGCCCCATTTTTCGCGATGGGAAAATAAAAGAAGTGATTTTTTACAAAAGATGTGATTTTATTTAAAAATAAGCGAAAAAAGACCTAAAATGGGACTTTAAAAAATGCGACAGCTTGGGTCCAAAATTTAGTCTAAAAAGAATTTTTAAAAAAACAGGAGTCATCACTTAGTATTGAGTTTGGGTGTACCAAGTCACCCCAAAAATATTTTTGACAAAAATAAAATAAAATAAAACCCTTTTCAACAACTCCAGGTCTTTGAAAAATAAGAGAAAATGGGTTCGGGAATCACGGTTGAAAAAAGGGAAGGCAAAGATTCGATTAACTCAAACCTAAGGCACCCTTTCAACCTAGTCTAAGTTAGTTGCGAGGTTTAGTCAAAATTTTCCTAATCTAACTCTTAAATTTATCACATTTGAATGTTTCCCACATGGATGCAAATAAAAATATTGAGAGGGATAAAATGTCCATTCAAGGGTTTAATTGATACCAATCGCATTAGTTGCGAAGGCCAAAATAATTCTTTGAAGGAGTCACGCGTATACAAATGGTGAAATCAAAAGAAAAGAAAAGAAAATTAAATTAAATTATATACATAGGTATAAATGATCAAAAGGAAAGGAAATACAGCATTATGGGTACGGGAGACAAAAATTCGTGACATAAATTTCTTATACAGGGATTAATGGGGTATTTAAACTAAAAAGTTATAATCACCCATTTCCCATGTTCAAAGAATAATTCTCCTAATATGAACAAGCAAATGAACTAACTTCTTCCACAATTTCTTAAATGAGATGTAATTCTAAATGATATGATTAACACATATAGAGGATAGGGGTATAATAGATAATAGGGAATATCATGCAAATGGGAAAAGATCCTAAAAAATAAAATACGCATAAAAATGTAATGAATATCATACAAAAATGAATCTAATGCATGAACAATCTAAGGGTCTAGCGTTGGACTAGCAAGTAAATGGAGGGAGAAACCACAACTAGCGTTGGACTAGTGTGGTGATGTCATGCATTCATAATACACAGTAAAACAAATAAGAAATAAATTAAAACAAATAAACACATAAGAGCACGTAGCACATAACATGTAAGTATGATATCTAGATGCAAAGATCCTAAGAAAGCGAGTAAACACATAAGCACACCAGCATGCAAACACATAAACAAATAAAAGCGAATAAAAATCTAACTATTACATTCAGGGACCCTAACTATAATCTAAAGGGGTAAAGAATGAAATAAAATAATAACCTAACTATTACAATTTGGAGTTTAATTGCCTCTCAAATAATCATCAAAAAATTAAATTAAATATATGAAACTTAGAACGAATAAAACAAATAACTAAAAGAAAATCACTCAAAACATGCAAATTCACACATAAAAACACATAAGAGCATATAAGAGAATTTAAAATAAAACAAGAAGATACCTCCCTTAAAGTAGTAGCTAATTGGGTTTGGTTTTACCTATTTAACTCCAAAATTAACAAAAATTATCAAGGCACCAATTTAATTTACAAACAAATCATAACAAATGGAAATAAACATGAAATCAATCAATTGAAGCACTTAAATGAAGTGTAATCAATGAGCAGAGAAGAAAACCAACTTCTATTTAAGCAATCAAATCTGTCAGGGACCTAATTACAAAAAAAATAAAAGTTTTAGGGTCAAATTATAGTTTCCACAAAAATTAGGGTCCAAATTAAAGAAAAATAAAGTTTAGGAACCTATTTACAATTAAATTAGAGACCTAATTAAAAGAAATATAAAGTATTTAGGGCTACAGTACAATTACTCAAAAGTATAGGAACTGTTCTGTAAATTCGTCACCCGATCACTCAAGAAATTAATTACTCCTATTATTATTTGGGCCAAAGGCCATCAGACCCGCACAAAGGTCCAAGGAAAAATATACAGGCCAGCCCATATTTTATCCAAACAGGTCCAACCTAAACTCCAATAAAAACTAGCAGGCCAACCCATCTTTTTCACCAATTAAGCTCATGCAAAGTTGTGGGCTTTTAGGCCTCTAAACCCAAATCATAAACCCAACCAAAATAACCAAAATCCATTATCAAAACACAAGCAAATAACCCTTAACCCAAAATTTAAACTTATTTACCAAACCCAATAAGATAATAAATTCACTAAAACAAATTAAGGTTTAATTATACCCCAAATCACAGAAACAACATGCTTAGAAATGCACTTAAAATATGAAAAAGAAGATGAAAACTCAATAGGGACATGACTGGTTCAATTACAAAAGCTTTTGGGCCACAATATAATTATTTGAAAGTTAGGGGGCTAAACTGCAGATTATCATGCAAAGTTTTGGAAATCATCTTCTGCAAACTCTCCTACAACATTCTGTCGGCGGCAATGGCTACCGCTGACGATGCCACCGGTGGCTGATCGCCCGCGATTTTTCCGGTTGCCAAATTTTTTCAAAATATACTCCCTCACTCAATTTTTCGTGTAGATTCCAATTTTAGACTTAGTTTTTACAAAGAAAGATCCGAAGGTATCCAAAACGCCAAAAGACAACCCAGTTTTTTTTTTATTTTTAAAAATACTCAAATCTTTATCAAAAATCATAAAATTTATACTACAACACTCCTTACAACTTCTACAATACAACCATGATTTTAATTTGACAAGAAAACAACATA